CTGCAGACATGAACACTTACAATTAATGAAGAATACGTTTCAGCCCAGCACGGTGGCGCAACTGGTAGAGCTGCTTCCTCTCAGCGAGCAGGTCCCTGGTTCAAATCCCAGCCTTTCTGGGTGGAGTTTGCATGTTCTCTCCGTGCATGTGTGGGTTTACTCCGGTTTCCTCTCACAGACCAAAAACATGCATGTTAGGCTAATTGGTCATTCTAAATTGCCCCTAGGTGTGAATGAGAGAGTGAATGGTTGTTTGTCTCCATGTGTCCCTGTGATGGACTTGTGACATGTCCAGGGTGTACCCCACCCCTCGCACAGTGAATGCTGGACATGGGCACTGGCGACCCCCATGACCCAAAAATGGAAGAAGCGGGTAAAAGATAATGGATAGATAGATGGACGTTTAAGCCCAACCTGTGTTGTCAAAGTAAGAACAAGACAAACAGTTCCAGACAACTGGACACACCTTTTCACACAAACTGTTTTTAAAGCCCCATTATTCCTTAAGGGAATACAAATTGCCCACTACTTTTCATGCTAGAGTTTTAGACCAAGGCCATCTTATAACGATGTTGGATACTGTCACACTCAGAATGAGTATGGGCTTTGGCAGAGGGAACTACTGTAGTTCCCACACTCTGTTTAGATATTGTTACAGTGAGACAGGCATTCAAGAAGGCAAACCCTCACAAAGCACCAGGGTCTGATGGCATCCCAGGAAGGGTACTGAGAGTGTGCGCTGACCACCTCACCAAGGTGTTTATCACCATCTTTAACCTGTCTCTGAGCCAGTGTATTGTCCACACAATCTTAAAGACCTTCACTGTTGTCCCCATCCCAAAGACCTCTGCAGCATCCTGCCTTAATGACTTTCGGCCCATAGCATCACATCTGTCATCATGAAGTGATATGAGCAAATTATCAAAACTCACATCTGTATCTCCCTCCCTGACACCCTGGACCCCCTACAGTTCACATTCAGAGCAAACAGGTCTACAGATTATGCCATTGCTTTAGCAGTTCACACCTTCAGCTATCTGGAGAAGGAAACACCTACGTGAGAATGTTCTTCGTTGACTACAGCTCAGCATTCAACACCATAATCCCCTCCAAGCTGGTCTCCAAGCTCACCACATTGGGCCTGGAGAAGTCCATCTGCTGCTGGATACTGGACTTCCTCACCAACAAACCACAGGCAGTGAGAATCGGCTGTCACCTCTCCTCCACACTAGTCCTCAGCACCGGTGCACCTCAAGGCTGTGTCCCCAGTCCACTACTGTACTCTCTATTTACACATGACTGTACCACCAAGCATAGCTCTAATATCATCCTCAAGTATGCTGATGACACTACCATCCTGGGCCTCATCACCAACGACGAGCGTGCCTACAGAGATGAGGTGAAATCACTGACCAGCTGGTGTCAGGAAAATAACCTCTCTCAAAATGTCAGAACAAAGGAGATGATAGTGGACTTCAGGAAACAGCGTGGAGGTTAGCACTTCAACATCAACATTAACAACACTGAGGTGGAGCAGGTCAGCAGCTTCAAGTTCCTCTGCATTCACATTACCGAGGATCTGTCCTGGACTTTACATACAAACACTGTGGTCAAGAAAGCCAGACAAAGACTCTACTTCCTAAGAAGACTAAATAAGTTTGGTACAAACACCAGCATCCTCACCAACTTTTATAGGTGCCCCATTGAGGGCCTGCTGACAGGCTGCATCACAGGGTGGTACATGAACTGCACCAGTCAGAGCTGGAAAGCTGTACAAAGGGTGGTGCAAACAGCAGAGGACATCACTGGTAGCAGTCTCCACACCATCCAGGACATCTACCACAGCCAATGTCTGCGTAAAGCATGCAGCATCGTTAAGGACCACACCCACCCAGCACAAGGACTCTTCCATCTACTACACTCAGGCAGATGATACAGGAATCTGCCATCACGTACAAAAAGACTAAAGGACAGCTATTATCCACAAGCTGTACATTACTAAACTCTTGATAAATAACACTGAACAACTGGCAATAACTTTGCACCAAGCCACATCTGTGACAACTAATATGACTAATATTAGCTTGTGACACCTAATATTTTTATTACTAATGCATTATGTGGCTGTATCATGTATGTCACTACCTTACCATCATAATTCATCTCAATGTCACTCACTACCTGTGCAATAACCTGTCACACAACCTGTGTAGTTTACGTTAATGGGCAATATATAATATAATTTTAGCTTATATTACTATCTTAAAATACTTATTCATACAAGTTCATCCTACTTGCACCATGTTGTTGTTTACTATTTCTCTTTAGGACCTTGTAAATATTATAATCACTTTTTGGTAGTTTTTGTACCCATATTGCATGCTTTAGTATTTTCTAGTTTGTTTGTGCTTTGTTTTTTTAAGCGAGTCAAATCAGTTATTCTCATCCTGAACATTTCATTGTACTTTTAACCTTGTGTTAACCTGCCTATGACAAATAAACACATCTTGAAATTAAAAATAAGTCTCACCATAGACAGGTCTCTGTTGTTGTTCTTCAGCTTCTCTTCCTGTCTTTCTGTAACACAAAGATCAAGTATCAGTGTCTCTATAGATGAGAAGAGCAGGGCAGCCTTCCACTGGACTCTTACCAATCTTCTTCTTTTGCTGGCGTCCAGCTGACTCAGATATGGTTTCTTTTTTCTTCTCAACTGAAATTACAAAAGCTCTTTGTAAACTCTAAACTCAATCTGAGCAAACGTCATCCCGAGCCTTGCTCTTACGTTTTTTGCTTTGTTTCTCCACCTCAGACTTCAGCCTCTTGTACTTTTCAGTTCGATACACTAGAACCCAGGTAATACCTGCAGCAAAGATCAGAAGAAGACGAGTACATGGACCTTAAGTCCCTTGAATGCAGCACGAGGTCATGTAAAGGTCTGTAATGGTTGTGCCAAAGATGTTCCGATAAGAAATAGTGAACTTGTAAAAGTTTTTGGCTAGTTATGAAACATATGCCGAAGCAACATTTTATGTTAAGTAACTGTATTAAAGGGTAATTCCATGCAAAATCAGCCAAAGGGTTCAGTCCAACCAGCTCAGCTTTCTATGAAATTTGGCACATTTCATTGGTATTTTATGAATCAAAATTGATCCTAAAAAACAAAAACTCTTTGAAACATTTATGTGCTTCACATAAAAAGTTGGGGATTTCATTTCAGGAAAGATCATCTCAAGGTCACATGATCACAAGGTCAATTTCAAGGTCATAAGAAATGTCAAAAGGTCAACAGACCCTAAAATACTCAAATCAAAAAGTAAAGGTAAATTTAGAAATCCTATTAAATTCCTTATCCAGTGACACCAAGTTTGTGAAAACCAGTAGTTTGACATAACTGGGGTTGAAAATAGACGCCCACACCCATTTTTGCTGAAAATCCAAAACTTTTGAAGGGAAATATCTCTAGAACCACAGTTCCCATTGACCGAAAATTTGACATATTATGGTATGGGATCACAGCTGACATATAAGCCAGGTTTCATCTAGATTGAAAGAGTCTCATTAAAATTTTCTCTCTTTTAGAGGGGAGATTTGGGGCATGTTCTAATTATATAGAAAATAGACACATATAATCAAGAGACAGAAGACACACATTTGGAAAAAGACAATATGCACATGCACAAGGTGGTAGGGAGTACTACATTTTAGTTCAACATCTATAAAATTGAGTGAATTACAGTATAACCGTTTTTGTGTCCATTTTTTGTGTTTTTAGTTTTAATGTCTTGACAGCAGTGACTTCCGGTGGGTACTAGAAGCTGATTGCGGACCTTTATTTTGAAAAGTAACCGGAACACAATCGCTAAACTTTAGCCTTGCCATACCAACATAACTTCTAACGAGCAAACGTAGGTTCGAATAAACACTTAGTTAGTAAATAAAGTTAGAAACTCAGTTAGTCATAATAAAGCTAGCACTGTCTCCCCCACGGAGTGATCCAGCACATCAATACAGTTTAAATGGCCGTGTCTAAATAAGACACGCGCATGACTTCCACCCACCTTCAGCTAACAACGCTGTGCAAATGGAGATGAACACGATCAGAATGGTGTCTAGAAACATGGTACTCATGGTAGCAGAGTCCCGTTTTATTCCACTTCGGAAAAGAAAAGTATTGTTTTAATGTTTCAGATCAACCCGCTCCGCGGATCTTCACCCAGTCAGCATTACTGAAAGGTCATTAAGGCGATAAGCACTTCCGGTTCATCTTCCAACCTGTCAAAACACAGGCAAAACTTCAGGTTTAAATGAATAAATAAAAAAATCTTTAATTACGCCACTCTCTCTAGTTTTATTTTTTAATTTTTTTGTATGCCAGTTGTTTCACTGTGCTGTATAACATTTGTAATCTAGTTTTATTTTGAAATGTCAAGTAATTTGCTTTTGAAATAGTGTTTTTGACTTCCGGTTCATAGGACTCAAAACAGCAATGGTTGTTTTGTTTTGGCCTTGTTCCTCGATCAGTACTAACTTAACTTTTAAAAATGCCTTAAATTAAGTTAAAATCTAGAATTAACTTTTAAATTGTCTAGACTCTATAGCTTTGTCATAAATTATGTAAAAACTGTATAGTGAAAGTCTTTTGTCTACTTCTGGTTCTTCATACTTTTTGAATCAGATCTTTATTTTTTTTTTTAAAAGCTAGTTTTTAACAAAAGCTTTAAGTCTGATCAAAACAGATTGTTTGCAAACAGTAAAAAATAAAATAAAACATTTTTTTTTTTAAATCATGCACGTCCTAAATCTTTATAAGATTTTTTTTCACTAAATAGTTTGAAGATGATTTTACTGAATCCAACTTTGGTACAAGCTTTAAGAGCAGCCAAAGAGTAAAGTGTGGTGTAAATCACATCAACAAACAAACAAACAACTAAAAATAATGTTGCAGCAGAAGATCGATCGTTTTTAAGATGTGACTGTTTCCTGATGTCCACGTCTCCAGAGGTAACGTACTCAAATCTGGACCTGAGGAGACCAGTTGATGGAGGTTTTAGAGGACCTGAGGAGATCAGTTGTTGGAGGTCCTGAGGAGACAAGTTATTGGAGGTCTTGGTGGTCCTGAGGAGACCAGTTGATGGAGGTTTTGGAGGACCTGAGGAGACAAGTTATTGGAGGTTTTGGTGGTCCTGAGGAGACCAGTTGATGGAGGTTTTGGAGAACCTGA